AGAAGGGGAGCTCACACCAGTCCAGAGGTGAAAATGGAGTCAATAAGATGTAGAGTATGCATGTGTGAAGGAAACCATGAGGAAAAGGAGTAAAAGACTGAGGACTGACAATTGGTAAGGAGGTCAGTTAAGCTAGGCTATACTTACAGTTTGATCTACTTTACTGATCATGTATGAAAATGTGTTGTTTAATAACAATTCACTCTAAAATGTAAGCCCCCTTAATGCTATAGAAGCACATCAAATATTGAATAATCTAATTATTTGACATGAAAATACAAATTAACAAAAATGACAACAATAATAACACAAACAACTATAGATTATATAAATATTAATTTATCTGTAAGGTGTTTTGCTCAAAGGCTATTAAGTAATGGGATTAATGCAAACTATAGAGATTCAGTTTATTTATTTTTGTATACTTCACTCTACTTCCCATCATATTGATGAATCCGTAGAGAAATGCATAACGAAAGGCACTACTGAGGTTGTAGCACAGTAGGAGTGTCCTGAGTCCCTCCGCATGTTGTCCTGCAAAAGTTTGACGTTTGTGGCAGCTTTCATTCACAACGGCATCACGGGGGAATACATGATAGGACAAAGGGACAGCAGTCAGAATCAAGAGGGAAACACACTTTACTTTCAAGGGATAATAGGGAGCGAGGTGGTATGTTTATTTGAAAGATTGCTCAGCATCAAAGCAAAAGGGACATGGGGGAAGGGGCTGCAGTGTGGAATTTGGGGAGGGAACTTACCATTGGTCATACCAGGGGACAGGTTGTCTATATCGTGTCGACGTCTGCTGAGGTCCCGGGATTGTCTCACAGGCTGTGGTGGCTGGCCCTCCAACATGTTGACTATGTCCATACGGTCAATACTCTTCAGAGCTGCATACAAGCTCTCCACTGCAGAAGACCCATGAGGAGGGGAACAAGCAGACAACGGAAAAGAGAAGGAAGGGAAGGGGGATTCCAGGACAAACAGCAACACCATTACAACAATCTGCCTTCAATTGGGTTCAAGAGGTGTAAATTAGGTAAGCCCTGAGAGGCAGGTAAGATTCAGGTGATACATTTTCTATGTCTAAACGTTTTCTCACCTGTCTTAATGACTTAAAGGTGCAATTAATAACATTAATAAGATTCAGCCACTAGATGGCAAAATCCCTCTCCCCCTTTGATTGTGTTCACGTCAGAACTCCGGATTTGCCAGTTTGATGCACAACCTGAGTTTAGACAGTGTCACTTTAGACTCAAAGTAAGCTAACCAGCAAACCTTAGCTTTTAGCTTACTGATCAAGAAGAAAAATGGCCGCTTTGTGGTTTTTCAGCTTTTGAAACTTCTTCAGCTGACTTAAACAAGCTAAAGCAGAATCCAATGTTGTCTTATTCCTACTTTTGTCACTGAGCACTTTGGTTTTGGATAGAAGCCGGGCGCATACCGTCAAAAATAATAAATGTTTACTAACTGGCATGTTACAAAACTTGCTAGTACACAATAGGAAAATAACAAATATCCTGACAAAAAGCACCGGCCAAAACGTCCCCACCATTAACATCAGACCTAAAAAAATCAATCACCGGATATTTTTCCCTCTTAGCCTCTCAGGGCTGCCATAATTTAGGTGACAGGATGAGAGAAATGCACAGTAATTTCAGATGTAATGGACTCACTCTTGGCTCTCTTGCCCTCGCGTGTGGCCCACAGGTTGAGCAGCGCAGAGCTCTGCTCCAGCAGCGAGTTGGGATTCTCCACACGGATCTTATTGATGTCATCCACACTGAGCTGAAGCTCTCGCGCCAACTCTGTGGCAAAAATTAGACCGAACAAATCAAGTAAGTGAGAAAAATATTTATATAATTTTGGTTGTGGGTCATGCTGTTATACTCTACACAGTCCTTCACAGTATCTCTACCCAGAAGAGGCAGTTTGTCTGTCAACAGCTCGGCTCTTGGCAGGAAAACAGGAAATAATTGGTTTCCATTGGCTAGTTGCCATGTTTGAACTTAATTAGCAGCTAGCTAGCCAAGCATGTCGGACATAAGATAAACATGGAAAGTTTACAACAAATAAAATCTGATTCAGTATGTCATTGTTTTCTCACCAGCCCAGCTCAGTCCCAATTGTTCTGCAATGACAGCCATCTTCAGCTCCGTCCTCTCCATGGCGCTCATAGATGCTGCACACACCAGACCAAAACTGACAACTTAACATCTGACATCTTTACTTTTGTTACATGTAAATTAAAGGTTGAGATTATCCCTGCATTGCCATACTTGTTTATTTATATTCAATACAGCATTATAAGAACATAAGCAGGGGCAGTTGTTGGCGGAGTAAGAGCCTCATACCCATAGCAGGTTCATTTAAGGCGCTGTATCTTTCTCTCAAAGCCAGCGGGGTCAGAGTTCGCCTCCGGTCTTCACTCCCAATAATCTGCCAGTCACAAGCAAATCACACTGAAGTCTATCATCTCACATACAATTATTTTGACTAAACACATTGTACTTTTGGAGCTTTACCTTGATACATGGAGGCATGTTGATGTTGAGGTTACAGAGCACATGTTGGCTGTCCTCATACTTAGTGGACTTGCGCAGGAAAGACAGGAATCCACTGTGCTCTTTACTGCTGTCTCTCAGCTTAGACACAGGGACAAAAGGAAAGCATTAAAGGTATACTGTATGTAATGTGGAGACAGCATATTATCAATTGAACAACAAAGAATATCTAACTTAACAAAGATCAGGACACATGGTAATACCTTAACAGAGACAGGAAGTCGGTTATCTCTGAAAGCCTGGAAGCTGAAGCAACGAGGCTGCTGGGTGGCCTTCCTCACCGGCAGCAGGTTACCTGAACACTCAAGGTGAAGCGGCATTCCCTCCATCACCTGCAAGACAGGACACAGGAATTAGCCCACACTACACCACACTACCATTTGACCACATCAGTATAATGCTCTGCCTTTCTCACTGGTGGGCAATAAAGTGTTACATTAACACCCTTTAAAGAAAGTTGTTTTATTGCCTATTTTATTACTTTTAACCCTAACTTAAGTACATTTTTGATAGATTATAGGTATTTGTACTTCTAAACATTTGGTCTCGATAAGGAAGTACAACCCACCCACCAAAACACACATACGTATGCATGAAAAATACACATACACGGCGCAAACCTAGCCGTTCTTTAAGCATTTTTTTCTATATTGTTCTAAGAAAATAAATAGTGCTTCACGGTAGGTAGATGTTTATTTCCCTGGGTCTGGATATGGTAGTGAAAACAATGGTACAAAAGTGTAAATGCACCTAAAATTGTTTTTCCTTTTTGAACATAAAAACCGTTATCTAATAAATTGCATCTAAGTTATTTTTCACGCAATGCTTTTCTCTCTTACTCAAGTAGTTATTTGAATAAGTACATCTACCCCTACTTGAGACAATATCATTGTAAAGTAACAAAACTTAAGTACTTTTTTTGTTAAACTCTCCTTATAACTGGCCCCTGTTTCTGAACTGACCTCTATGTCTCTGCTGCGAGCCACTTCTGTGAAGTTCTCATGTTGTTCCAGTGTTTTATCCATCTTATCATCGGTCATGCAGTAGCAGCGCAGGCGGCCCTCACGCTGCTCATTCATCTTTGCAAACACCACAAACTTGGCCATGTAGGGTACGGCTGACAGCTCCCTGTAGAGCAGGTTGGCGAAGGAGATGGCCTCCGCAGTCCGAGGACAGTCGGCGAGCCAGAACCTGAGACGAAACAATGACATGGAATCTCAGTTGTGTGGAAACATCTTATTGTCTAGCTGACTGTAGAAGGATTTGAGATGGCAAAGTTTTTACATTAACCTTAGTGGAGTAATTGTTAATATGATGTATGTGTTGCCCACTTACCGTGCTGAAACGTTTGTTGTGAAGCTGGCACAGTCTTTAGCATAATTGAGCTTGGTGGTGCCAGTAATGTCTTCCCATTGGGCTGGGGCTGTGCCACCTGGGAATCAGTCAGGAGGAGAAAGGGTAAACTGGCTATTCTGGCTAAAGCAAAAGTCTCATGGTGCAAGTACAAAATAAGAAAACTAAATGTTCATTCGAAAATCTCTCTTCATTGCAAATCAGCAGTTTTGCCCCCATTAATCTTCACTCGCCATGGAAGGGAGTAGCTGCAGGCGACACTCACACACACACTACCCACACAAGTCCCAGCCTTGGCATGCAGTACCTATGACTGAGCAGAGAAGACGCAGACTGGTGGTGTCTCCCTCCCCAGCGTCTCGTGGGCTGTCCCTCCAGGACGGGGGCAGGGGGATACGCAGGCCTATGGGTCGGTGAAACTTGCGTCGCCGAGGCTCCACAGTGACCACGGGGCTGAAGTTTGCCTGGTTACCCAGCAGCTTAGCAACCAGCTCATCTGGAACTGGCTGAGCCTGAGGTTGAGAGTGAATGATGGAAAGAGGGGATACGTAACACGGGCACAGGGTGATGATATGGTAGAGAAAGGGGATAGGTAATGGAGATTGTAAAATGAAATGATGGGAAAAGAAGATGGCAGGTAGAGGGAGACAATGAGAGATCGAGGATAGGGAAATGGACGAAGAAAAGACAAGTAAAAGAAAGGACAACCGAATAGGAAAAATGAAAGGTGAAGAGAAAGAGAAAGAAGTCCACAGTGAATAAAATACCTTCTGGTTGGTTTGATCACACGTGGAAAGACAATAGCAACACAACTTTTTTTGTGGCACTTAATAACTCCTTTTTATTGTAAAATGTAACAAAGTGTATTCACATGCAGCTTTTACACTTATGAATACAAAATGGATATCAAAGAAAAGGGCACTGTGGTTTTTGACAAGGCCGTTCAAGACATCATTATTAAAGCAACATTTGTTAAATATATATATTCCTAAAAATATGTTAATACAAAATGATGAGCATATCTATTTAACTTACATTCACTATTTTATCTTAGAGGTTACATCATGTGTGGTCGCATGTTAGTTTACAATACATATTTAGCTTGTCATAAATTCATTCCTGTGTCTAAAGGACAGCAGCTGAAGGTCCATTCATAGACATCTACTACATTTTGGTACAGATTCTGATATTAGATTTACACAATTCCATCTAATGAATGCATTTCTGACCTATATATTCCAAAAATGTTATATAAATTCTAAATATTTTTAATTATGTTTTTGTTAAAAACAAATATTAATGCAATCATAGTATTGAACTGGAAAAAATATCTTCACACTGAAAAACAAAGGCCAATAAAGCCTTGATATCATGTCAGCAAATATGAAAAAATTGTGAACATTCATAAAAATATTATAAAAAAATCTTGAAAGGACTTTTTGCTCAGAAACCTTTAAAAACCTTTTTTTGAAGAAATTTGAAAAAAAAGGTTCAATGTGACAATTATTTTATGATTGATGCCTGAATTGTTGTAATCTGCAATTTCGCCCCATTATTAAATCTCATTCCAATATGACTTGTTATGGATTTTAGAGCAACTTGATGTTTTATTTTGAAACAGGATGTCAGGACATCAGGTGGTGAGGGTTAAACCTTAAGTGGGTCATTGTGTAAAGAGAGTGGTTTCCTATTGTATAATTGAGTTGGTGCAGTGTGCTAATAAAATATTTATCTTCTTTTGGTGAATATTTTATAGAAAATGTCAAGACCTAAAAAGTGTATCCATTCTCTCAAAAGGGTCATAAAGCTTCAACCAACAGTTATTTAACTAAGATTAAAGGGTCCCTTTTTACGAGGGACAACACTTCATTCTATAAGGACCTTTTAACACATTTTCGAGACATTTATGACAAAAAAACCTCTACACAGTAAGTATACAGTCATACAAACATGCATTTTGCTTTTCCATCAAGTAATGTTCGACTAACTGTAACAAGGTATCTCAAATGAATGTGTGAAATATAGTAAATACAGGGCTTTGTCAATGAAATAAATATATTAGTGAGAGAGACATCAAGGAAAAAACAAAGAATATCATATCAGCACTAAACGAGCAGTCCACAGTTATATAAAAGGTGCCAAGTGCATGCACTGGAAATGTAAAAAGGTCCTCTAAAAATGCAAAAAGCAGAATAAACAAACCAAAGAAAAAATGAAATCAGGAAAACTTGGCACAGAGGCTGATATGATCAGGTCATTCCATCAAAGTAACATGCTTTATTCTTTCAGGCAACACAGGCATTAACGATTCTGCCTTTCTTCTCCTTCCTTCTCCTCATCGTCCCATCTCACCTGCAGACCCAGGCGCACTCGTTTGGTGACGGCCGTCTCAGGAAACGTGGCCTGCACCAATGGCACCAGTTTGCTTGTCAGCTGACCTCCCTCTGGTCCAATCAGGTCGCTCTCTTGCTGGACTCGTGACACAACAGCAAAGTAGAGCGGGAAGTCGGTGGAGATGATGCGACGGATCCGCTTCTTCCCGAGCTCCTCCTGACTTTCTAGTTCTGAGGAGGAAAGCGAGGGTTAAACTCTCAGGAAGTGACACCATTCAGTGACATTTTTAGAAATTTGGCATTTGAAGTCTTACCCTCATCCATCCCATTGAGGATTGTTTCTAGCACCTCGTCACCGTAGCGATTACGATGTTCTTTCCAGACATTGCCGTTCTCACTCCTCAGCACCACGAGCTCCCGGTCACCCCGACCCAGAGCAGCAAAGTGAGGGATCTCCACTATCACAGGTCTAAAACACAACACAAAGGGAAACATATTCATCAACAAATGGCAATTATGTACTAAATATAACCATCTTAAACACTCTCAAATTGAAATACACCCATATATTATTTATGTTTATAAATAAATACATGTTCATGATAGTGTTAATTAATAATGCATGGTATTTGACATTTGTGTAGGGTAAATAACACGATGCTATTCATTTGTGGATGAAAGCACTTTGAATTGCACTTACAACAAAAAAGATGGTTATAGCCACATTATAGGTTAAGTGATAATCTCAAGTTTAATGATAAAAGTATTTGGGAAAAATAAATATTTTGTTATTTCTATACATTGTTTTCTCATGTGCAATAGTAATGTTTTGTTACTGGATAATTCAGTAATCATGTAATTAATTAGATTTTGTCATTAACTGACAGCCCTAATAAGATTCATTGTGTTTTTCGAGGAGGATATTTCCAGTCTCCTCACCCCAGGAACTGCATCCCGGCGGGCCCCAGGGAGATGATCCGGCTGGCCAGCCCCTCTCCCTCCACCAGCGGAGGGGGGCTGGTCAGCTTCTGCGGCTTCACCAGGCGGCAGGTGATGCGGGTCGGTGCGGCACAGGTCCGCGGGGGGATGATCACACGCAGACCGTTATGCCTGCTGCCTCGCATTGAGCCGCCACGAGCATCTACCATAAAACTGACCAGGAAACTGCAAAGGGACAAACATGGGGACGATTAGAATCAGAATCAGGTTTATTACCAGGTAGGTTTACACATACGAGGAATTTGACTTGGTGTCGTGGTGCATACATAAAAGTAAAACAAGAATTAAAAACACAGGTAGAGAACTAGAAAAATATTTAAAATAATAAATTATAGTAAAATATAACAGTATTTACATTGCAATGGAATGGAATAAAAAGGAATACAAATCAGCAGTAATAAAAAAAATAAGAAAACAGATATTGTTGTACATTGTGTGCATTGTGTTAGTTGCCGGATCAGATATTAGAGAGGGATTCAGTGGAACAAAAAGATGTGCTGACCCCGTGTGTATGGGACTAGCGACTGGGCTGACGTTGTCTGACGTCTCAGTCGCTGGGCTGCTGGGAATCAGGGAGTCATCGTCGTATTCTTTGGGCAGTGGAAGAGGAGTGTGTTGCTAAAACAGAAGGAAAGAAACTCTTCATAACATTCTCAAAAGAAAACAGTGGCAGATAATCTTTAAATGAACCAAACCTGTGTTATTCAAACACGTCTCACATATGTTTAATAAAGTTAATATTGAAAGGGATATGATGAGAAATTGTCTTTTCGTCCTGCATTTTAAAGCTATTTTAAAAGTGGATATGGAGAAGGTACTTCAATAACCTTCATAACACCTCTAAAGAAGTATTCTCATCTACATTATCATGTTATAAAGAGGGTTGACCTTAAAAAAAAATCATCAATTTGAGATTTAGATTAAAATGTGAGTTTAGTCCAAGTCCATTAATCACAACCCTTCATATGATATCACTTAAATGAACAAATTAGTCTTGAAAGTTAATTGCTGGTTCTTGACCTTTGAAATAGTAGTTTAACTAAAAAACATAACTTTAACTTAAGGTTCAGTTACACACCTTTTTTTCTGGTATTTCAACTCAATATGGTATTTATCAAAGAGTTGCTCACCAACCCATTGCACGACTCCAAAGACCACTTTGCAAATGTATTCCACTGATATCAATTATATGTAAATATTATATATATGAATAATATGAAATGATCTAAACTTTGGAAAGGACTAGCAATTTGACCCTGGGCAAAAGGGGTACTCCACCTGCTAATTCATTACAGGACTACAGGAGCAAGCTCTGCAAACTGGTAAACCTTGAAAGCATAAACCTGTTAAGGTAGGATTAATAAAATATCTTACGTTGCATTATGGGAAATAAGTGTTCTTGAACTGTTACCCATACAAAGTATTAACAATTATTGTATCGTTAAACTATGTGTCTTCCAAGTCCCTTAACTTTATTGGCGTGCAGTGCTAAATTTCTGGAGTAACTCAGTACCAGATCCATCTCGTGTTCTTTCAGGATAACGGTCTCCGGAGAGACCCGGGGGATCCTGGGAATGGCTGGGGAGTAATTCCTGTTGTAGTAAAAGAGAAAAACACAAGTGAGATTGAGGAAGTTCTTTAAATCTCCTCCCAAGTGCTCATCCCTGGTGTTTAGTTAGTGTTTATGGTGCATCCCCCTCTATCCTTCCACCAAGCCGGTAGCTTGCGGCTACCAGCTTGGTCTCTGGCTTGTTTCCCCGCCCAGCCCCCCTTACGCTGAGCCCAGCCCTCTCTCGTACTCCAGTGATTTCTTGGGAGAGAGGAAATCGTCATCATGGTCTTTCATGTCATCCATCTTCATGTACCTGGCCCCTTCGGTCCCCAAGAGCTCCTCTCCTTCAGAGAACAACATGCCAAAGAGAGCGAACAGATCGGGTCAGGTTGGAAACAGCAAAACAGAGAAAGAGAGAAAGAAGAGAACAAGGCTGTTAGCCCGGGTTTGAAGAGGGGGAGGGTTCGGAGATGGCTCTGTGATTCAGGTGTTCGACTGGTGAGATGAGACATTAGTGAAGATGCTCTCTACACTGACCTTCTTAAAGTTAAGCAAATTAAGCACAGACTTGTCTACATAGCGCCGGAAACTTAAAAAAATCAGTTACAAAATCCAAACAGCAGGTCACAGTAATCAGCTATAGTCTCAGAGTCCAACACTTTTCATTCAGAATCCCAAATATTACTACATTAAAATATGAGCGAACACTTTTCACATGTAGTCCCACAAACAGTTAGACACAACAGCATACAGACACCATCTCATTCCAAAAAACTGTTAGTAAGAAACAGAAATACACATAACCAAAGTACAAGCTGTTCTCCTTTAACAGTACAGTATAACTCGATGTGAGCAGAGGTGGGGTTACTTACCCCTTAACACATGCGGTAATATTCAAGAAATCACCAGAAGTGTGTAATAGTTTGAGATCGTACCAGCTCAGCGAGTGTGTGAGTGGGCTTCTGTCAGAGGTCGAGAGCCAAAGTGATGTCGTAGGTGTCATTACACTATGCTCGACTCCGAGTGCACTTCCCACAGGTTTTATACGAGTCAGCTCGTGTCCTGGATATTCTCTGTGTTGTGTGCCGTGTGTGTGTGTGTAGGCGAAGTGTTACCACATACAAGCCTGTGCATCAGATAAGCTCCAAATATCATTTCACAGCAGCCGTTATGAAATGTGTCTTTAAGGCAACGTCTCTGCTACTTTCTATATTTAGAGCAACGGTGACAATCTGTCGGTTGAATTATCAGGGGACTAAAAATATCAAGACATAAAGTCCTCTGATATCATTGTCAGTGGCGTTGAAAACGTCATTAAAAGTTACAGTAGCAATAAGTGCTTTTTGAGGGATGCATACACAAGCTGTGAGCTGACATAGAACTTGTTAGCTAAGAGTTATACGTCTATACAAGTCAAAGATATCATTGTTATTTCTCTGTCCACTTGATGTTTGTAAGTCCAATATTCACATATCCAAACTGCAGAGGGATTTGTCTGAAAACAGCAGCGTGTTGCGGCCAAATACTATAAAAGCCTTGAGTGATACGAGTAATGTTTCGGGTCGTAAAAACCAAGACAATTAGCTGAAAACCATTATAATCCTGAGCTGAAATTAAATGTTGAGTTAATAATCACTACATGTGACTCTTTTTAGATACAAGAAGTCACATTATCAATTGTAAAAACAAACATTGAAGCCAATTCATTTTTAACAAATACAGTTGGAATGGCAGGAACACAAGATGATTGACAAGTGAAGACATACACACATGTCAAAGCTAGGATAAGCTCACAGGGCTGATTTTAAACGTTTTAATTAAAGATGTGTTAAATTATTAATACCTTATATTAGATGTAAAATGTATTGGCTATGACTGAAATCACAACTTAGAGGAAGAAAAGACACCTGCAGAGTTAGAGGATGAGGGTGTTATTGAAGGGACAGATAAAGGTTACAGACATGGGTGCTATGGGTGCATGCCAATGAGAAACCAGAGCCACCATCACAGTGAGCGCCACTACAGAGGGAACGAGAGAGAGAGCTTGAAATGGAGCCACACACTTTAGAACAACAACCTATGAATGCCGCACGAAGAAAGAAAGAGACATTCATACCTAATGTTAGCTGTGCAACTCCTAAAAAAGGGCAAAAGGAATCGGAAAATAATGAATATTTATGTGACTAGGTAAAGCATCATAAAATCAGCCTCATAAACAGGAAGTAATGTTTAGATAACATCCACGTAGTCGATCAAACATCGTTTCCGACTGTTTTTATGAGTTTTATTATATTTATAGCTCTCTACCTTCATCCTCTGACACGTCCAGTATCTCGTCCACTGTTTCTGGGAAGCTCATGCGATGTTTCTCTGTGGTCGTCTGCGCAGGGGGAAGAGGAAGAAACAATTGTAAATACAGCGTTAAATTATTATCGACACAATTCATACAATGGCTTTCTCTTCCTTTTAGCATAAATAACATTTTTCACTATTGTATTGAAGTATTAGACAAGATTAAACAAAACAACAACAAAAGTGACAATATTTATTCAACCCAAAATGTATGTAAATGTGAACAAACCAATCAAAAATGATCATAATTCTGCACTCCAAGGTAAGAAAACATGGAGAAGACACAGAACTATGCAAGGTTCACTTAAAGAAAGTATAGTGTGTGATCATGCTAAATAGAGTAACAGGGTATATGCAGGAATCCTGAAGTCAGAAGTAATACCTTTTAAGACCCTTTCCATACATTTTAAGACCTCATCGCAACTTCGAGTTCTAACCGGTAACCTTGGCAACACACTTTACCTCACATTGACTATATTGATTGTAAGATAGCAAAACTAAACAGAGTGCAGACAGACTACTGAAGCCTCCTCTCCACATGACCTTCAACCTCTCTGTGAAGGTCAGGTTTAATGCAGTATGCTGCTTTTTTGTTTCTGTAGACTCTGTGCTCTTTCATTCCAGTCAAACTCCTCAGAAACCATTAGAAACCAGTATTTGACCAATAAACAAAACAATTGACAAAACTTTGAACTATGAAATATGTTAAACTTTGGTGAGCTTCAGCGGGGTAATGCCATAGGAGCTCCCTCACAAATACCCAGGGGTTCAAGGCTGGGCTGTCCGGGGCTAAGCCCTGGCACATAGGACGATGCTCTGACGTCATCACCCTCACACATTTGTCATATGTTTACAAAAAAGGATATATATGTTTAGACTTTTCTCGTTCTTAATATAGACTATATTTAGGGTCTATATGTGTTGACTTTACTTTAAAATAGCAGATCTCTGTGACCGGATATAGTTCTGCTTAGTGAACGTACGTCTCTTCCCCGGAGGAGCAGCATCGCTCATTAATACCTTGGAAAATGCCGTTTAATGCTTTTTAATAGCCTTCATTTTCGCTAAATTGATTTATCAGCTTTTAATACTTTTTAAGACCCCGCGGAAACCCTGAGTAAGGCAGTAACCCTAGCACCACTGCCCGACAAACCTCATTGTAATAATAAAAGTAAAGTAATGGTGGATTCTTGGAGTATGTAATATGTTTACTCTGATACAGGTGAGTGAAAACGCATTTATTATTGATTCACTTATAAACTGAATATAACTGACTTTGTGTTTTAATGCTCTGCAGATCTGGAACAAGCTTTCTGAGAATCTGAGAACCTTGCTCTTTAACGCTGCTTTCCCAGAGGTAACTTATCTCTGATTTATCGTTGGGCTTCAGCACTTCTTGCAGCATTATGTGTATTTACAATGTTGATTTTTAACTCATTTCCATCTCTTCTATGAGCTGTTCAATTTATTCTGTGTTTAATAGTATGTGTTATTTCCATTGTAAAGCAGTTTGAATTGCCTTTTTGTCTGAAATGTGCTCAATAAATAATAACTGTAACCGTATTTCAAGGTGAGTGTGATGCCCACATAATGCCAGTACTGTAAACAGAGAGATCAGTCCAATTCTAAACTCCTCACCATGGAAACCGTCTCCTCTGTGACGAGCTTTAGGACATCGATGACAGAGATGTAGCCCAACCTCTTAGCGATGGCCAGCGCTGACGTCCCATTCTGACGGACAGAGAGGAGCACATTGATCAGATGTCTGAACGACGACACTTTATGAATGGTTTTTCAGATGTGAGGTGCGTTCATGCTCACGGTCGTGGTCTCGTTGGGCAGAGCGGCGTGCTTCAGCAGCAGCGTCACAATGTCCGTGTGTCCCTGCTGCGCCGCCTGGTGCAGAGGAGTGTAACCCAGCTGGAAAACAGAATACATTTATTCTTACTCGTATAATGTACGAATAGTTTTACAGATACAACGCTAAAAATGAACTTTTTTAATTATGTAATACAGCTGGTAACAAAGTCACCAACAAACCTTTTAAAACCAATATCAGTATAACGGACAAATGTTTTAATAAAGCTGAAACATTTAGATGATTAACAGACAATTAATGAGTAACAATTTAAATAATTAAATGTATTTGTTTGAGTAATCTAAAAGCAGAAATGGACTGCTTCTAGTTTCTAAAATATATATATTTGGTGGTTGTCTTGGTCGTCTATGATGACAAAATGAATTTATTTGGGTTTTAGTCAGAAAAGAAAAATCCATTTTAATATGTCAGCTTGGGCTCGAGGGACTTGTTTGACTATGTTAATTACATTTTCACAAAAAAAACTAAATCAAGAAAGCCGTTATAATGCCAGTTGTTATTAAGCCAGATGCATTGTGTTCAACTAGACATGCCTAAGTGGCTATGGTTGTCTTTACTCCTTAGTACAATCAAATCAGATGGTGTGTTGTACTGACACATAAGCAAATGTTCTTTCTTTGAAATTACAGACACAACATCAATTTGCTACTCAATAATAAATACACTTATCAGTTGTTGCCCTACATATAACCTTACTCATTCAAATTAAAGCACCTGAAATTAACTCCAGTCCAGTACATTAAACTTGAGAGGTAATATATTCTCATTCCTATAAATCATTATTAATAGCTTTCTCTGGGGAGATCCCTGCATAACGGTTAACTGTGTAATGTAATCGTGTTTCCTGGTGAGTGAATCAGACAGTGGGCACAGTAGCTGCGTGACTCATGCCCTGACTCATTTAGTTGTAGTTTTATCTGAAACCAGAGGGAGGCACTCACCTTTGTTTTGCTGTTGACATTGGCTTGTTGCTGCAGGAGGAACTTCACCATCTTGATGTTGCCATAGTGACACGCTACATGGAGGGGGGTGTAGCCCATCTGAAGGAGAGAGATTAAAGTAAAAAAAAAAAATCACAGCAGTCACATAACTTTGGTGTCTTAATGACCTTTTCATTTGAATATATTATGTAGATTTGATCCTAAAATTGTTCATGAATATTGCATTATCTTATGGTTCAAATCAACGCTGTAAAATCATTTTGAGAACAGAGCAGAAAGGCTGCGATTAAGACATTAACAAGAGAGGATGCAATTATCTCTGGTGTATGGAATTGGGACAATAACGATACAAATATTACATTTTGTTTGAGATTATGATCAGTCCAATACAAGAGCCCTATCTATCATACATTTGTTTCTGAAAAGGTGAGTCTGATTTGTAATTTAAATGTGGACAGTTTGTTGCAGTCACTAAACTTTTCCTCAAATTATATTCCAAAAATGTATATTTTGGCCCCACTAAAATTCTAATTTGGAAAACTAATTTCTAATAAAATAAACAAATAGTGAATTTTTATGGAAAAAGATAGAACTTGATGATCCCTTGTTGAAATCCCTAAGCTCCCCAACAGTATATAATAGTATGGAAATAACCCTCAGCTTGACGAGCTGCAACACATCTATAATTATAATTCAGAGAGATGCTGTAAACATGAAAAACCTCAAGAATCTGCCATGTTTTATGGTAACGGGACCCCCTGCTATGAGAACATTCAGCTATTTGTGCTACAGCACTTAGACACTATCTCCTAAAGCTCAAAGTAGATAGCACGAGTTTCTACACTGATAAGGCTTTGATAACTGAGCAACAGCTTCTCGTGAGACTAAAAAAGGTCTTACCCTCGTGGCTGCCGAGACTGAAGCCCCCTGATTCACCAAAATATCTGCAATGCCAACATGTCCTTCCTGTGCCACCAGATGGAGCGGGGTTAATCCGCTCTGTGGGAACCACAAGAAGAAGACAAAAGTCAAACACAGGAAAAAAAGCTCAAATTGAATATCATTTTTAGTTTGAATCAACCTCGTCCTTTGATCAGTGTTGAGAAAACACTCAATGTACTTTTCCAATATCAGAGTAGCACATGATAACAAAGGCCTAACTGTAACTGAGTACGTGACAGGATGTGTGATTACCTAGAAGAGCATCAGGACTGTTTGAGGCATGATAGCTATGTGATTAACATGATGATTCAGCCTCTATGGAGAGAGACATATGACAAGCATGATCATTTCTGACGTGGAGCTAATCTGAAGTAAACATTGAATACTGCTTTGAACCGGTATTCCTGCATCTTGTGACTGAAACACCCTCTCTTGTATAAAGCATGTGAAGGACACTGTTCAGGAACTAGTTGTACCAAATGCTCTGTATGTGACGACTACTTCCATTCTTGCAAGGATAATAAATGTATCCTGATATTGAAGCTCAAGCCTGCGGGTGGAGACGTACAAGGAGAGCCTACCCGGTGTGCCTCTAGCACTTCTGACGACGACCTCGTGTTTCGGTTGGGGACTGAGGTGGTGGTGTCGTCCGGTGTGGGGGGATGTGTAGGACGGGCCCTCGCCGTCGCGGTGTGGCACGCGTAGACCGACCTGTACCTCCGAGGTCGTCTGGTCTACTGGTTGCCATTTGGGGACGGACGAGGAGAAAGTGACGGTTGGAAACCGACAGAATTGTGCCAATCGATCTTGTCTACGTTGAGGGTTTTGATTATAAAGGTGAAAGGAGAGCCACGCAGACATCTTTCCGAAGTGAGGTGAGGTACACGGAGCGTTCATGCCGTTCCACCTACATCGTCGTCGACAACAACCTCTCTCCTCCGGTTGGGATTACGACGACCTTCCATTCCCCTTTGTAATTCCTAATACCTGTTTTCTACTTTCTTTCGTAAGCAAACCAGACGAGGCGTCAGATTAACTTGGAACACTAAGACAGAAAGGTCTTACCTGACTGAGGCGACGTAAACGACAAGTATGTGTTGTTGGAACCTACAACAGGTTGTACGAACAGTCGTTTCTCCCAGGTGGAGTATCAGCGTCGGTCCCATTTTTTCCTGTGTTAAATGTGTATCTATTACGACTTACCGGGTCATAGATATGTGCATGTATTGAATCGATTAGTGCTCGGACAGACAAGACGTCTTACCGATCGTGGCCTGGAGGTGTATCCGTAGTTCGGTCTTTGCGTCCACCTACCACCGCTCGTCGGGGACGACGTCATGCCTCGCCGACGCCGGGTTGACGACTCAGGGACGTCCCGAGGTTCGGGGAGCGTGCGACCGAGCGTCCTCCGCGGCCGCGCGGGCTGTACCAGGGGGACCGGAGTAGAGGTTTGTCCGGGTTGCAGTTGGACGCCTTTGGTCGTCTTTCATGGTTTCCGACTAACGGAATCTTTTTATAGTGGAGNATGATGATAAAAGTACATCCATAACATAATTAGAATCCCAGTTGACAAGTAAGGGTGCATAGCATTCTAAGTAAATATATATATATATATATATTTTCAATGAAAATATATATATATATATATATTTACTTAGAATGCTATGCACCCTTACTTGTCAACTGGGATTCTAATTATGTTATGGATGTACTTTTATCATCATACAGCTGTAGCTACCAAGAGACTGTTGAGTTCTGGGTAATGCCTGCAACCTGGGGATAAAACAGGGGTCTTGTGGGTATTTTAAACTTTTGTTTTGCTTTTTTTTTTATTGTTATGGAGAGTCAAACATGAATTTAAAATATACATGTAAAAGCCTTTTAATCCAATGAAATCCGAGGACATCTATTGACAATTAACTCTGTACACCAGCTCAACATTTACAAAAATTAATAAAGAAATGAAATGTCTTTGTCTACAGTGTATATACTTCTGTGTGAGATGCATGATCCACTCGTGCACGCAACTGCTGATGATTATACTGTAATTGGAACAAAACAAGTTTTATATGTTGAACTGCCTTAGGCTTTATCATGTGCATACTGCTGCTATGAATAGGAAACCATACTATGAGCCTTCCAACAAAGTACCAACAACGTACAGGTTGACAAATTGATGCACCAGTGGCTCAACCATGTTTGTCTTAAAAAATAATATTAACAAAAATGTAAGTAATGTATTCATTATCACTATCCATTGAATACACGCAGTCCTGCAAACTGGCAACTATTGCTTGTGTTCAGCAGAGGCTAAATATAATTAAACAGTTCCTCTAGAAAGGTAATAAGAAGTTAAAAGTATCCTGTTTATCCTGATGACCTTCTAACAATCAAATCATGAAGTTTATATTAGGACATTGAGGCTCTATTAAGATAACAGAGGGTGATATGAACTTTGTCCAATCGTTGTAAAGACATGACGTGCCAGCAGAGGGCGGAACAAGTTAATGTTGTCCATCTCAGGAGATTTGTCCCTGCAGCCTTTCTGCAGTCTGTCCGTCTGTGTGTTGTTTTGTGTGCATGAGAAGGGTGACTAGAAGCAGAGGAACGCGTGCACAGGTCTTTTTTTTAAAGAAAGCACCTGGACACGTTGTGTGTGAGACATGTTGTAATGTCACGAGTTTAGATACTACATTTCATCATTTGCACTTAAAAAAAAGAGCTATTTATTTGTATTTAACCGAAAGAAGCTGTATTGTTGAGCCAAAGCAGGCGCGGTGTGGCTTTATTGTTTTGTGAAACCAGTACTTTCTGCCTGTTTCATTCTATTTAGTTAAATAGTGTTACTATAAGAGAAAAAGATGTCCACTGAATTCCTGAAGACCACTGCCAAGGCCATCCCGTCGACCAGGAGGGTGACCATCAACGACGCGGCGCACATGCCCAACGATTACTCCACTACTCCCGGAGGAACCCTGTTTAGCACGACCCCCGGTGGTACGTACCAAGTTAAACATGTGCCAATAATAAGATATGCAGTTTGCTACAGTCATATAGGGGTTTCACTCGTATGAATAAACAGCTGTATTGTCAGAGGGTGAAGCAGGAAAAGCTCAGGCTAACTCCATGAGGTCTGCTGCTGTCACTGTGCACAGCCAGCTGCTAGCATTGCATCAGCTAACTGCTAAAGCTAACTAGCACATTTTTTACTGAAAAACAGAGAAGGAATTACTGGCTCTGATGCAGTGGTGTAAAGAAACTAAGTACATTTACTCAAGTACTGTACTTAGCTAGACTTTTGAGAGACTTGTACTTTACTTTAGTATTTTTGTTTTTTACTACTTTGTAGGCCTACTTTTACCCCACTACAATCCAGAGGTAAATATTGTACGTTTACTCTATTACATTTGTTTGGTACCTTTAGTTAGATTAATGTGAAATGTACACTTAAATAATACTTTATTTACACCTGGAGTCAAATTCACAAGCTACCCTGCAGTAAACAAAGTCATTAAAACCTGTTTTTAAGTCCTGAGAAAGTCAAATAAGATTTGTGTGTAAAACTACACTGCGTATCCAAAAAAAAGTAACTTTGATTTAACTAGGCCAGTAGGCAAGGGCTTTCCTCTTGATAATAACTGCAGCGATGTATATGTTTTAGCTGAATACACGTTTTTTAACCTTAACTGATGCACTTCTTTAATGTTGGTTCTTTCTGATGTAAAGTCAAGGTTGTAACTGTTTGCAATAAAGTTGTGGGGCGCTGAACTGTTCTTTTGATTCTTATGCATTTTGATATATGATACTCATTCAAATTTGAAGGAGGGTGAACAAGCATCTTGAGGAACATTCATCATTAACTCCTCCAAAAAATATAGTTTATTTAATAATAACACTGAATATGTGAATCGTAACAGCGATTGACAGCTGATAGGAATAATATGATTGTTAATATTATCATATTAATTCAGACAAACATCGATGAGACAGTTAGTTAATTAATGTACTTATTGCAGCAGTACTTTGGTACCCCTGCTTGTCTTTTATTTGTTATTGTTCAGTTAAAATTCATTCAATTATGTCTGCCACCTTATATATTTCTATTTAAGGCTTTACTGATGTGCCACAATAATGTCACCTAATGTTATTCAGTTAAAATATCAATATTGTGGCTTTCCAAGTTAACATTGATTGATATGACTGCGATTAAATCAGCATATACTTCTGCCAGGGGATGCCACCCCTCAAAATCTCCTACCACCCCATGAATATTTGTCTCTGATGCAATAAAGTAATTATGACCATGGTTATTTGAATTGTAGAAGCTCAAATCACAGCTTCCTAGTGAAATGAGACGTGTTTACAGTGTTGTTTTTAGGTTTTATCAGCTGATCTGTGAAAGTTAGCGACACCTAACTGTCCTCTGCTGCTAATGACGTTTGTGGTGGTCTTACGTCACTGACAACTAAAGCTGTGATTGGTCCTTTCCAGAGTGAGTTTATTAACTGGTGTTCAATTAAGAGGACGTTTTAAATAGACTGTTTACCTTTTTTATAAGAACACATCGTAATGAAAAACATGAGAGACTTAGAAAAGTATTATTTAGTCATCTTTAGATTGGTGCTCATTGATCATGTGGCGTAACCAGAATCAGAATTTCCTTTTTCTTTTCAAGTAAGTTTTCCATTATACAAGGAATTTGCCCTCAAGTGTTTGGTTCATACAATAAACAAATGAAATGAAAATACAGGCACAGTTCTGCAAGAGCCAAGAACATGAATATATATAATAGAGAAGTAACAATATAAATATGAAAAAACATATCTACAATTTAACAGTTTTAGAATGACAGAGATGTATAGTATGTGCAAGATGTGATCAGGGGGTCCGCAAACGTTCACAGTCAAAATAAACGCCTCCCCTGTGGGTTGTGTGAGTTTCATATGCACAGCTGATGTACAGTACAAACCCAATAAGACTGAAATCATTAGTGGGTTTATATTTCTAGACTCTGGGGTCCATTGCAGTTCAACTTTTACCAGTGCTAGTACCTTTTCTACTTCTGAAGTTTGATTTATACATGATACATAAATAAATCGGTACACATTGTGTCCCTGTGTATGCCACTTCTTGTCATTTAATTGTTTGAAAGCCTAATATGTTAGATCAGACTTAATTGTCTAGAATTAAAGTTCTACTAACAATAATAATTGTTAGTGCTATACTAGGCCAAAGCGCTAGACTAGATACATAAGGCATAAGAGCAAATAAGTAACAGAAACATTGAAGCATAAAATCCTATTAAATTGCTCTGTCTGAACTGCGAGGTTTCTCATCATCCCTCTCTTTCTTGCCTCTTCTCTGGAAAGGTACAAGAATCATCTACGACAGAAAGTTCCTGCTGGGTTGCCGCAGCTCTCCGGTGGCCAAGACTCCTCCTCATGGTCTGCCTAACATTCCCGGGGTGACCAGTCCTCCCTCCAATGAACCCAGGAAGAAGGCCCCTAATGCAGAGCAACTGAACAACAAAACCACTGCTCCTGAGAGCAGTAGCACTGGTATGTTCACACACATCAGAGCAACATCACACATGATGTTGCTCTTTGTGGAAAAGGTTAAATGTATGTTGGACACGAGCCCATATGTAGCTGCTGTCTTCCTTGATCTCAGGAAGGCTTTTGACACTGTTGACCACCAAGTGCTTCTTACAAAGCTGACGTGTTTCAATTTTTCGGCAGATTCAATACAGTGGGTTAAGTCTTACTTATCGAACAGTAAACAGTGTGTTTTGGTTAACGGAGCCAAATCCCCCACCTTGTGAACCCTGTTGGGGTTCCTGTTGGGGGTTCCACAAGGTTCCATTCTTGGACCATTACTGTTTTCTCTGTACATTAATGACTTGCCTAATGTATGTCCTGATTTGAATGTGCCGATGATGCGGTCATCTTTGTACACGGGAAAAATACTGAAATGATCTCATCCTGTCTCTCAAATGCTTTGGACAAGGTTCAACACTGGCTGAACAACATTTGCTTACAGTAAAACGTAAAAAAACCAGTATGCTTGATGTTCAGTAAACGACCAGTCAAAATAGAAGGATCCAATGTGTTTTTAAACGGAGCAGAATTAGAACTAGTCCCCCACTTCAAGTATCTTGGAATCATATTGGACTCGAACTTGACTTTTAAGAAACATATCAAGAAAGTATCCAATACCGTTAAATTGAACTTGCAACATTTTAAACAAATTAGACCTTTCTTCACTGTCAATGCTGCAAAGTCATACCTCCACTGTATGATTCTATCCCACATTGAATACTGTTTCACAAACTGGTCTATCAAGCTATCAAGGTGTTTGACAGAAAGCCAAATTCATATCACCACTGTACCATCCTTGAAAAACACAATTTCTTGAGTTTTGTCTTTTAAAAGTATGTGTTTTTAATGTGCATTGTCCCGGTTCAAATAAACGATTAAAAAAATAGACTTTGCATCTGGAGAGAAGGATTCTGACCTAACCGTTTTCTCTGGAGTTTACTGTCCACGCATGTTTTCACTTACTGGAAATATTTTGGTTTGGTTTAGGTAAGGTGTGGCGCTTGGGTTAAAGAGTGCAGGACATGAGGAAAACAATGAGGTCACATAGCTGTAGCAAAACGTTTTCACTAGCAACCAAGCTTCATGCTGTTTCTTAATTAAATGGATCTTAAGTTATCAGCGTCAGACCGTACAAACAGAAATCTCTCTGTCGTCACTTCATTTAGACATTTTTCGTGTTTATTACATTATTCTTTACGTCCAGTACAAGTGAAGCAGACAATTGTTCTCACATACAAATTCAGGCAGGTCATCTCAGGGTTGCAGTAGGTGAACTCAAGAGTTAATTCAGCTAACCACTGAAATAAACAGCACTCAGGAATCCTTCGGGTTGGGTCAGTTATTTCTCCCAGTGGGGAAACAGCCTGCAGTGACACACTACCAGACCCTATTTAATCGCTGAACATTTTTATTTAAGACGTCTGGAACTCAGCTAAGGGCTGATATGTGTCCTGATATATTTGTTTTTCTTTATTTGATAAACTCACAAGAAGTTGCAGTCAATCAGAACCAAGCATATATTATAAATACATTTATTTAAAATAATTAAATGCATTTTAAGTTAAATGACTGCGTTGAAAACATATTAGTTGTGACTATTTGATTTTCTTGTCAAATTAAACATTTCTCATTCCCTCTATGGGTATCAAACTGTGCAATTAGCTATTTTCCTTCCAGGATGTTTTTATCACAAAATGTTATCAGTTACTGCTCAATTAACTTATAATATGCAACTGTTAATATAGAAAACACTTTTTAGCTTGTTCTAATCAATACATATGTTTTTTCTAGGTGATGACTCACAGTTTGAAATGGACATCTAGGTGGTCCTGAAAGCAGTATTAAGATATCAGACGTACCAACACGATGCTGTGAAGAGAGGCTTTGAAGCACCATCTCCTGCCTCATCAACCATTCCATGTAGACGGAGGTTTGCCCTCAGTATCTCCAGTGTCTTAGTGTTTCAAAGTCTGTCTTTATCAATCTCCTTTGCTTGTTTTGCCCAGAACAAATCTTTAATGAAACGTTTTCTGTCTGCCTCTGGCTTGTTCTGATTTATGTGTGACAAAGTGTGCCTTCCTCTTGTGGCTAGAAGTTTAAAGTCAACACTGAGAAGTACTTACAGTAACAACGACAAAGCCTCATCTCTGAGATAAATGAATGAAAATGATCAACAATAGAAAAAATAATAATGAAATTTTTCTGAATTTAAAACTATTCCAAAAGGGTTTTTCACTTGATGTGCTTTTATTTCCACTCATTTCCTGACAACTCTCGTCAGATATTGCCTTGCAAAGCTCAATATACTGTATCTTTTGTTGATTGTTCTCTTTAAAACAAGTCCTTCAACTGAAGTGTCATACAGTGAATGTAAAACATAATTTTGTTGATGACATTTTTGAAACAGATTTTCACACGGTTTGTAGGGTGATCGAGCATTAAAGCAAACACTATGAAGCAAACATTGTCTTTGTCATCTATTTGATTGTGTGCTGGTCATCTCAGTGGTTTGTATGTTTAATAACCATGGACATGTGTTCACTGGTCTGAATACACATTTCTCTGGACAGTTTCATCTGAAAGAGCAAGTGCTAACTTATTTTTTGCAGTATTATAAAGTAAAGATTTGATTACCACAACTAAGTTTATAGCAGTTCCTTATATAAAGTAAAGATTTGATTACCACAAATAAGTTTATAGCAGTTCCTTATATAAAGTAAAGCCAATAAACATTTTAGTATGATAAACCTTGACTATGACATGTTGCTTAACAGCCTTTAGCACTTCCTGTGCTTCACTGATTCAGCACAAGTCATATCAGAGGAATTCCTCAAGGAGCCACCTCAGCTGATAACCTCGGTCAGTGGACTGTATAAAGAGAGGTCAATATACAACGGTACATAGCTGGGAGAAACTCCCTGCTTACGAGCTAGAAAGGGCAGTGTCATCATACAACATTTCCCCCTCTGGCTGGCTCCTTGTTGATTCACTGTTTCCAGGGTTCATTCTGAAACGGCTTACCAGGCTGTTCCCTTTGCTATTTTATTATAAAGATGCTTCTAAATAATGGATGTCCCTGAATAACTGGCAGTACTGCACTAAAAGATTCAGGAGCACAAGCAGCTGTGTAAAGTTGTGCTGTCTAAATTGTTCTCTTTTGTCTTCAAAGGTTGTGCAAATGGGACAAATCCATTTCTACAGATTGGGTTCAATGGTAAACATAACATTTAATTACCAAATCACAGGGTATTTTATTGCTCAGTCTGAATCAAAATATTCTCCCTTCCCTTCCAAACTTTGCACGTAAAATGTTCTACTGAGAGAATTCCCTTCTAGAAACACGACTCAAGTTTTTCAAAGTCGCAGGAAATGTAGGTCATTTGAAGTCCTTTAAAAAGCACAATAAAACAAAGTGAACCCCATTCTCAACTTCACCAAGCTTGAGCATCAAACGAGAGGTCCTGGAGTGCTTTAAACCTGCTGGCATCTAGGCTTTTGGTAATGTTCCTAAGCGTAACTGCTTACAAATGATACATCCCATAAAGTCCGTAACTGGACTTATTCTGTACGAGACACTTAGTTTGTAGTGTTTGCTTGTATCACAGATGTCACGTCTGAAATAGCTGTTTATTGGTCTATTCGAGAAATGCTTAACAGGACCTCATGTAGCAGAAAGAAGGACGGTTGGTCCACTTATTTGAACATAACACATACAAGAAACATTTTGAGAATGCTGTATCATGCCCCATCACATGTTTTATTTGTAATTGCAAGGTTTGCTCAGGTTGGAATAGATGTGTGAGATCTGATACGTGATTTAAAGGTGATGATATCCAGCCTCTGCCACTTGTCTTGTGTCAAGGTTCCTCCTCTGCTTTATTATTGCAAATGGACCTGCCTTGAATATGGTATATGGCCAATTATAAGCAAAAACAATAGATTAGATAATTATAGTGAGATTTAGTGAGAATATTAAGCACATGATAACATGTTCTGATAATGTTAGCTTGTAGCTCTCTTGTCTTTAAATTGTCACGCCGGAAATCATGCCAAACACCTGGTGAATAAAACGGAGAGCTGTGAGGGGACTGGTCTTGGGACTGATATGTGGATTGAACAGTTTCAGCTGATCAGTTCCAGTCCACCCTGTCCTTCCTCCACAGAAGCCTCAGCATCCAGACGTTGACTCTCTCCATTCCCTCCTTGCTCTCTGTTTGTTTGGGGTCTGAATCTCCCCTTGTCACCTCTGCTTCCTGGCACCCCCAGCCCCCTCCCCTACATAAACAAGTGCTACTGCTTTTCTCTCCCCTTCACTCTACTCTTTGTGTACTCCTACTCCGCTCCTCTGTTTGATCACAATCAACAAAAGAAGCCTGGCCAGAAAGGACACTAATGACCTCTGATGATGTGTGTGCTGTAAAAGGCCCAGAGATGTGGATTGGAGGTGAGGAAGGCAAATACACTTAAATGTTAGCTGGTTACAAGTCAGAGGACAAGTGGGATTAAGATGAGTGTCTACGAGCAGGTTGAGCCCCCGAGAAGTGCTTTTTGTGAGTGTTTTTCATTCTGTATAGTCACTGCTGAGAGATTCAATGGAAATCACCACACATTAAGTCCAGATAAAAGCTTCTTTTTAAACATTGCAGACTTAAAGGTTTTGCGTGGAGCAATATAACACACTTTAAATAGAAAAAGCAACTTAATAGCTTATTGTAAAATGTGATTAGTTCTTTATCTATGGCACTGAGATATTTTATTTTTATCTTAATGTATTTGTCTCCCTTTCCCCAGGGTTCATAGGTTCAATTAGACCAGGGGTGTCAAACTCAATTTCACCACGGGCCACATCAGCATTATGGTTGCACTCAAAGGGCCAGTTGTAACTTTAAGAGTATACAGAAAGACATGTATAAATATTGAATATATAAAATAATATATTACATGATTGCCTCTGCATTGGATTATTATCGGATAGGGTAACTTCTTAATTAACTACTACGTCTGAAAGCAGAAGTCTGGGGCAAATAATTGCAAGTCTCTTCAGTGAGAATGTCACAATATGATTTTTGTGGAAAAACAAAAAACAAGAAGTGACATTTGGAGAAAAAAAGTAACATTTGGAAAAAAAATCTATTTATGAGAAAAAGGCTAATTCTAAGAAAAAAGGCATATTTGGCTAAAAAAAGTGAAATTCTGAGAAAAAGTCAAATTTGAGATGCATTGTGGGACATGCCGTTTATGGGCAACGTGCTTCTGTAAAGTAGCATGTAACCGTATAATAAACATATTATATTCTTTGCAAGCTCTTGTGGGGCCACATAAAATGAAGTTTTGGGCCGGATTTGGCCCCCGGGCCTTGAGTTTGACACCCCGGGAATTAGAATATTCAAGTGCCAAATATTGATTAACTATATGAAAAATGTAAGAGTTGAGCATCCCAAAAACACAAGACACCACGTTCATGTCAAAATAAAATGCTTTAATATGTTTTCACATTTTATGTACAAAATATACATTACAACGTATAAATAGATATAACATTTGCATAACAGAGCTTTGCCTTTACTAAAGATATATACTATAGTGTACCACCCAGTATGGATGAAATATAATCTCATTCAAACATAACAGTCAGATTATGTCTTTTGTTGTAAAAGGACATGACTTGGAATATATTTGAACATTAATGTTTACATATTGATTTAAAGTTCAAGAGTACGCTCCGTCAACATTTGCTCTTGTTGATGGCAGTGAACATGCTGGCCCTTCAGTGACATCCACACTCTTCAACAACCATGTCCTCGTGGTGCCGAAGGGTCAAATCATCGCTCTCGTAGTACAGCATGGAGAGCGGGCCGAGGCGCGTCGGCACACAGGACGGGCAGGACCCTCTTTCTGGATGGTGATGTTTCAGGAGGCTCTGAAAAAGATAGGAATAATTCACATGAATAACACGAACAACATATACTCTTATAATCGCCTCTCCAGCTAGAACAACCCACCCTCTGGTTCCCAAGGTAAACACAGTAGACATGTGAAAAATAAGCATTAAAGTTGTCATCTCACCTGCATGTACGCATGGTTGGTAGGGTTGAAGGACTCATCCAGTGGTGTGGGACACTCTCCCTCACAGCGAAATGCATTGAAGCGCTTAGGGTGCACAATCCACTCGTCCCAGCCGATGTGGTCGAAGTCCACCCACATGTCGACCCTGCGACACAGCGGCCGCTGGGACGGCTCTGCTGCTGCTGCTGCTGATGCTGCAGGAGGAGTAGGTGGAGGGTTAGGTGGAGGAGGTGTGGGTCCTGCAGGCACCCTCATCCTCTCCATCCTGTTCCTCTTGTGGCGTCGACTTCGGCTGCTGACTCTGTCCATGGTCACATACTTGGAGTTCTCCACAGTGTGAATGAGACTGTATGCCGTGTGGCCTTCCTGGGGCACGTTGTGTTTGGAGAAGACGACCATCATGACCCGGTTCACGGTTGGGTGGTGGGTTTTTCTTTGCCTCAATCCCAAAGTCTTGAAGAGGAACTGCCCAGAGACCTCCCCTTCGTCCCCGGCACCGCTCCCATGGTCTGCGTCAGGTTCTCCTGAGGCCTCCTGGCTCGACAGTCTGTCTCCCTTGTACAGCCAGAAGTTTAACAGAGCGGTCACATTAAAAACCTTCCAGGTGGACTTTGAGCTGCTGGCTGATGTGCTGAAGCTCCCCAGGAAAAGATGCTCATCCTGGCATGATGTGCTGCCCAGCTCACAACTCTGCTTTCTGGAGTGATATAAATCCACGGTGGGACGCTTAGATTTGGAGAAAGCAGGCAGTCTGATCCGAAGTTCTGCCAACTGGACAAGCTCACTAGCAGAGATGGATGACATGTCAAAAGTGACTGTCCATTTTTCACCCTCTTGATGGCAACCTAAAAATGAGACAAAACACATGAAGGAGATTGCAGATTCACCAGTCTGGAGGATTCTGGACAAACCAGATCTCTGGACAGATGTCAAAACACTGGAGTGGGAGGGTGAACAGGACAGGATGTGTATTGAACCCCCCTGTGCAAGGACGTCTGAGGGCTAATATACACACCCTCTCACATAAAACAGAGAAAGCCTTTAAAGTGGAATAAGCATTTTGACACTTGCTGGGTTGTAAAAAGGGAGGCTCTGATAACACAGATAATGCACCAACCAGAGAGCTGCTGGAGGAGAGTACTCACTAACAGAGAGTAGAAACTAACATAAAGTATATAACATGCTGTGTACCCAATAATGGGGGAAAAAACACAAAATAATTAAACTGTTTACTCACCTTTGGCTGTCAAACTTAGCACGGAGTCAGAGCTGTCACCTTGCATTGTAACGGTGTCGATAGCTACAGACGAGGAGAAATCAGCAGTCTTAAAGGAGCGGTACAGTTGCATCATGTACAGGGGATAACTGCTGCGATGATTAAATGACAGATTTGTCAACGCTAAACTGGTCTCCAGGCCTGTGAGAAGTCTGTGCCCATGACTGGAGAAAACAAACCCAAAAGAGCAGAGGAGGAACGTGCAGAAAACCGACTGGACTTCCATTTGAACTGAAACTTAAGAAAATCTACCTCAGAAATAATGAGAGGCAAAGATGTCCTTCCTTCCTCCAGCTAGTCTCAGGCTGAAATGATGCTCTGTGCAGACGGAGCTCCAGACAGGCCCCTTTATAGTGGACAGCTGCCCTTTGATGACCCCTTACCACTGCAGGCATTTGAACAGCCCCTCTGATCACCAGAGCACACCAGAGGGGGGGGGGGAAAGAAAACATTTAGCCAAGGTCATTGTCCTGTCAAACTGCCTTTATATTCACTCAGGAGCCTAATCCTTTAGAAATGTAAAGTTCCATTAACAAATAACACTTGAAATGTTGTACGGACATTAGCCCCTTTGTGTTTACTGACGGGGGCGAGTAATGCAAGACTTCACACTTAATAGAAACTAAGAGTAAAGGACAACATTTACAGATAATCTTTAATAAGGAAATAGAAACAACTTCGAAAAATAAAACAAAAGGTGTTGAACAAACCTATGAACAAACAATAAATACTATACTTGTATTGATGGCTGGTTCCTTGTCAGTTAGGAATGTGTTGAACAATAACGTAAAGAAAATGTAGGATGATCAGTAAACAGTGTTTGAAATGGTCATATTATAGATAGGAGTAAACAGTACAGTAGAATGAACTTATACTACCCAGAGCAAATACAAATTAAAAACATGCAAACTACAAAAAGATTTTAAAAATCTACAATGAGAAGTCTATGTAGAGGTCATATTTCTATACAGACAAAACTCAAGCTGCGTGTTTCATATATTGTGATCCTGCAGCTTATTAATAAGAGAAAACTTGTATGTAACTCCATTTCCTTCACTCTGAGAGGTTCGTCTGTCTGACTGAGGTCCGACTGGTTTCATCTGCTACCCGCTGCTGACTGTATCGGATGATGTCTTCTCATAAAGCACTGAAGAAGTTCTTTATCTGTGTATGAAAAGGTATTTTAGGATCATGATGGATAAGAAACATGAAACACATCAAACGTCAGATCAGAAAACTTCAATGTGTCGGGGCAGTGATTGTCTTTGGACCAAAAGCTGATGAGAAACTAGGTCTCAGACATTTGTATGCAGCCCTCGTCTGGTTTAGAGTGCAATAAATAAACATACCTTTGTTATAAATTCCTCCTGCACGACTGGGTCACTCTTAAACTCCACACTGGCATCGAGTTGTAACACAGGTATTTGCTTCAACTTCTCAAAATGTGTTCTGAAAAGAGAGAGTAAAGCTGTTTTTCACTGAACACCTCAGACCACACACTGCTGACCGTCATCTGTTCACAGCCCGGTAGCGAACAGCTGCGAGGAAAGGCTTTTAAAATGGTGACGGACCAACAGGAATCCATAGAGCCTCCTGTAATATAGTGGCTGCACTGGTGGTGTTTGTCATTTTACTTTCTTAGTTTAAAGGAAATGGGATAGTTTGTAGGATAGTTTACAGATAGTAAAAACTAAACAAAGACTTAAATGCTTATTTACACTGCGCACATCCAGCCTGCATTCACCCTGTTTTTCAAAAAGTGGCTCAAAAATGATCTGTCATCTATTGCTTCAAAAAGCCATGTGTTTTTTTTCTTTCCTGATTTAGGGATCATTCAAAAATATTCCAAAAACAAAAACAGAAGTCGGAACATCAAACACATTATCTAATTTTCACTCACTCAGTGCTCTTTTCAACCAGCCACCTCTCATGTTGAACGTGTAGCTTTTCCAGATAGTCCAGTTCCACTCCCTTCTCCTCTGCCCTGCCTCGTCGGTGCAGGCGCTCCAAACATGTCTGAGAAACAACCATTTACAACGTGTTTGAGTCTTTTTTAAAACATATGACAGTACAGGTTAAAGGATGTGCTGTTCAATCAACTACCACAAGATACAATGTCAGAAAACGTGATTTTTCTTGATGAGTTATAGTAACTGTCCTTACCGTTGGTGGGGCTCTGAGGTAGATGATGCCCTCTAGCTCCACCTGGTGTCCGAACTGTTCCACTAGGAGGGAGTGCCAGTCCTGATAGACAGCCCACTCTGTAGAGTTGATGCAGTCCAGCTCAAACATGTTCAGGGCAAAGATGTATCTGACAAGACAGAGGAACAACTTTAGTTTAACCAAACAAAAGAAAAGGTTTTCAATTAGTTAAATAACACATAAAGTTAATAAATAAATGAATGTACATACTATACTATCGACATATGTTATGTCTACATGCCAAGGCACACAGGGGGATAGGATACTGGTGTGTATAACTTGTCCTCTCCACTGACCAGAACATTTTTATATTGGGTCATTCTTAGTGAATATATGTTTTACCGTAGAATTTGTATATATACTTTGCTGTTATGTTATTTGTATTTAATTAATTATTTTGTAATTCATCTCCTGTTTAAATATCCTTAATGCAGCTGAACACACTGAGCTGCTGTTAACAACATCATTTATCCATTGGATGACATAAAGTATCGGATCTGAGTCACATATTCCATTCATGATCATTCTAGGCTCTACCTAGACTAGGAATGCGAATCTGAAGAAATTGCTCGTTGGGAATGCTCATGCGAAAGAGTGATGACTAAAGTGCGGTATGCTGAAATGGTAAGTTAAGAAGAAAGTGGAGAGAGATTCTAGATTGAGAATATATGAACGAACCTAGAGCGGTTGAATGTGTGACGAAGAAGAAAAGAGAAGTAAAAAGGCATTGGAAAAGCAGCAGTAATATTTGGATACGAAACTTTTAACTAATTTGATGATGTGAGTGCGAATTGATATGTCGCCAGCCAACGGCATTTGAGTGACATCCCATAATAAAAGAAATCTCAAAACGTTTTCCCTTCTCATCTTTTTTTTCTGTACACATGTGAAGTTTGTTCATTATATCGTCTTTTTACTGACTGTGATCATTCTACTGATGAAAACCCCATATTTTTTTTTAGGCTGGACCATTAACCATTATCTGATGGAGTTACAGGGACATCTGTTTTATGGCGAGATGCGTTTCCATGGCATAATCATCTGTTCTGAATGAGAGATAAACTCTTACATGTGATACGTTTGTGAAGGAACCTTAACAGATATCGGGTGAAATTTCAGAAGCCGTGGAAGCATGGAAGAGCTTGAGAGCATCTGAAGTGTACT